TAACTGCAGATCTCAAAAGCATCATCTTTCCATGGCTGCAGTCTCGGGTGCATTATACACCCTGTGTGATCTGGCTGTTCGCCTCCTCAGCATCAACTGGCACCTTCTCCCTGCCTGGCTTTCTGCGTTTGGCCAACTCTGGTCTTCCCTTGCATCCTGGAACACTTCTTTCCACTTCAGGGACTCAGCATTTTCTGTCCTTTCTGCCTGAAATTCTCCTTTCCTCTTTCACATAATTAATTTTCTCCTTTTAAATTTCAACTGAAAAGTTTCTTTCTCCAGGAAGCCTTCCTGGATATCTACCACCAGACAGAGTTCCATGTACTTTGTCATCCTGGTATTTATCACAATTGTAATTAAACAAACAGTTGTGGAACTTATTCCGCCCTTGTCTTCCCACTAGAAAGTAAACTCCAGGAGGTCAGGGACTGTGTCTGTCTGGCTCAGCTCAGAAGCCACAGGGCAAGTACAGTGTCTGGCACTCAGGAATCCTTAGTATATATCTGCTGATTAAATGCAAGGAAGGACAGGAGGGGCAGCCAGGGAGACCCACTGCCTGCATGTGATGCCCACTTCCTTCTTTCCTTCCACACAAAAGAGGGATCTGCCAGCAGGTTACCTACTTTGGCATCTCTCAGTGGGTATGGGAACCTGCAGGTGAAGGAGAACGGATCACGTTCCTGTGCCTGGGCACCCACTGGTGCTCTCAGGCCGGGAAAATGTGCAGATCTAGGAGAAAGCCTCAGAGATCCGCCTCTGCGCAACTGTTCAACTGCTGACTGTCTGAGCTGGGAGACTGAGGCCCAGAGTCCACCTTCACACAGCTGGTCAGGGCAGGTCCTAGGCCTCCCATTCCCCCCAAACAGGGCAAGCCTAGGCTCTGTGAGGCCTGGGTTTAAATCCCAGTTCTGACATGAGAAAGAATTTGGCCTTTATCTCCATGAGGCTTGGTTTCTTCAAGAGAAAACTGGAGATGGTAACACCCACATTATCACTGGGAGGCAGTGGAACATGGTGGTTAAGAGCATGGACTTGGATTGAGTAGGTGTGAGTCCAAATTTAGTGCTTCCTAGCTGGGCGACCTTGGGCAAGCTGCTTACTATTGTTCCTGAATCTGCCACTTGTCAAAGAGGGAGGAGGACATTCCTTTTTCATACACTGTTGCAAAAATTAGTAAGATAATGTGAAGCATTTAGCGCGGTCCTAACATAGTAACTGCTCAAAGTGGCTAAAACACAATAACAAAGCTACCACCTGTCAGTAATGGGGGGGGGGGGG